TCACAATGGCAAGTATTCAGCTGTGTTCTCACAAATATAAACTATTCTTTGGGAACCTTCAAAATCTCAATGTAGCAGCATTCAAAACTGTAAAGAACGGGCCCTTTCGTTTCCACTTACCCTGGAAGGCTCTTTGCAGCCAACACCAACTCTGGGTACTTAAAATTAAGAACGGGAGATTGTTTATTGTGGCTTAAGCCACCACATTTTAGTTACAAAGTAATTATAGCTTCTGCCCGTTGCTGTGATGAATTGACATCATTTTCTACAGAAGTCCATTCAGCCAAGTGAGGCCCCCTGAATATGAGAGCAGGGCTAGCCCTGGGCAAAATCATTAAGTCAGCAGAGCTCATAGTGGCTTTTTCCTCCCTGCCTCCTGGGAACTCAGATGCTTTTATAGTGACATCCCATCCTGGCCCCCATATTGCCCCCAACCTCCTTTCAGGCCCATCAAATTTTCTGATATAGGCATCTATATCAGAGGCAGCCAGGTAGTACAGTGGGTAGAGTACTGGGCCTAGAGTCAAGAAAACCTTAGTTCAAATCCCACCTTAGCATTTACTAGGGGTATGACTGGGCAAGTCACTTAATTTCTGTCTGTCTCAGTTTCACCAGTTGTAAAAAAGGGACAATAATATCCCCAAGGTATATAATGCTAGAAGAAGTCATAGAAGCTTTGTGAGGAAGGTAACAAATTGAGACACTAGACTTGGAAATCATAAAGCTAGTCAGGATCTCAGAAGTCATTTAGTCTTTTAACAGATGAGGAAACTGAGGCCCAGAGAATTATAACTTGCCCAAGGTAATACACATCACAGATGGGATTGGCAAGGATAAAACAACAAGCATTTAATAAGTCCCTCCTATATGCCCAGAGCTTTGGTAATTGAAGCTCAGAATCCTCTGATTCCAGATCAAGTGTTCTTTCAACTGAACCAGGAGAGAACCTGGAATTCATTCATTCAGTCATTCATTCAGCCAATATTTATCAAATGAATACTCTATGTAAGCACAGTGCTATGTGTTAGGGAGACAAAAATGAAAAGAGACAGTTTCTGCCCATAATGCGGTAGGTGATGAGGTATGTACAAAAATAGACATGAAATAAGTAAGAATGTGTTTAGTACAGAGGAGAGGGTGAATGGAGTGGTTGGGAGCTTCAGAGAGGGGGCTCTCACATCTATCAGGGGCAATCAGAAAATGTTTTCTAGAGTTTAAACTATGGGAGGCAGACTACCATGTCCATAGAGGCAGGAAAAAGCAGAATGGTGAGAATGGCAAAAAGTCCCTATTGTATGGGAACTTAGAGTGTGTGAAGGGGATGGAGACTAAAAAGAAAAGTGGGAGCCAGATTGTGGTGTCCTTTGAATGCCAGGTTAAAGAGTTGTTATTTAGCTTCTTAATTTTGAGTAAATCACTTCTTCTCTGGGACTCAGTTTCCTCATTTCTGAAAGAAAATTAGTTCACATGATACTGCTTTCACTGTGTGAATTGGGCATTGATTTCTTTCAAACACTGAAATCTAACGGGAAACTAACACATAGTAGTAATAAAAAGAAGTCTAGGGCTGAAAAGGGTACATCATATCCCTCCCCCTGTTTCTAATTAAGCTTAAGTCTAAATGACTACCCTTTTTTCACAACAGCAGGTCCCCACTGTGGGAACATTATTAATGATAGCCAGAAAAAAATATTTAAAGTATTCTCTCTCTGTCTCTCTCTCCCTCCTCCTTTTCCGCCTCCTCCTCCTATTTCTTCTTCTCTTTCTCCTCCTCCTCCTTCTCCTCCTCCTATTTCTTCTTCTTCTTCTTCTCTTCCTCTTCCTCTTCCTCTTCCTCTTCCTCTTCCTCTTCCTCTTCCTCCTCCTCCTTCTCCTTCTCCTTCTTTCTACTATCAGGGTTTTGAAAACATTATCATTGGCTTTTCTCACCTCAGTAAACTAGAATAGCACTAGAATCACAAAGTGCCGGAGCTAAGAGGGGCCTTAGATTTGTCTCTATTTGCACTTAAGAAAATAAAGGCCCTGAGACAGGAGGTGACTTCTCCAAGGTCCCACTCTTGGTTAGAGAAAGAGTCTGGGTTAGACTCCATGTGAGCTTCCTGACCTCCATTGCAATACCCTCTCCATTGCATCTTAAAGCCATTATTTACAGGATTCCTTCTACCTCCACATTTTTTAAAGAACAGCACCAGGGCATGCCAGATTTAGAACTGGAAATTACCCCAGAGGTCCTATATTTCAAGCCCTTTACTTCATAGACAAGGAAATCCCAGAGAGTTTAAATAATTTTCCTGAGGTCAAACAGATAGTAAATGGCAAAGCTGAACTTCACTAGTTGCTTTCCCAAGACCAATTCACACATTTGTCCCAAAAAGTATTTGTCTCTCATAGTAATACAGAGACTAAGGAGGTCTTAGGGATAAAAAAATCTTTAAAAGATTTTGTCCACCTCTCTCTCTGGAGGGTCAGCCCTCCCTTGCCTACTCTAATTAATATTATGTAATCCTTCTTGATGACCATGCTACCCTGACGTATGTTGAATGTACCATACTGTCTATTATATCAGAATAATGTCAGAATAAGGAATTTTCTGCACATTAAATTTTAGAGCTATGGGGTACCATCTGAAACTCAATAACAGTGGTTTTAGGGTAAATTAAAATGAAATAAAAATAAGGCAACTAGGTGAAATAAAGATTAGTGTGCTGGATTAAAGTCAGAAAGACCTAAATTCAAATCCTGCCTCAGATACTGCTTACCTGCATGACCCTGGGCAAGTCACTTAACCCACTCTCAGACTCAGTTTCCTCATCCATAAAATAGAGATAATAATAGTACCTGTCTCACGAGGTTGTCAGGAGGATCAAATAAAATAATATAAGAAGTGCTTTGCAAACCTTAAAGTACTATATAAATGCTACCAATTAAATATCAAATCAGCAATTTAATTCTCTAAAACAGTGGTATAAAACTCAATAGCAGGCTAGCTTCTTCACAACTCCCAAGCCCCTGATGAACTAGATTAAAATTTAATTAGGAAATGCTTAACAAAATAAATAAAAATACAGTACAACATAGATACTGTTAATCTGTGGTTTTCTAATTCAATATGCAGCCAACAGGGAACCATTTGACAGTTTGACAGTGCTGCAGTTCAGTACTTTAAAGACCATGATTTCTTCAGCACAGGCACTATTGCCATCCAAGTGCTGGTGGTCTGATCTTTTGGCACGGGGTCTTCATGAGTTACTGTGGTTTAGACCAATGTTTGAATGATGAACATCTCAGAAATAGGCTGAGCCCACGCCAGTTGCCTTTCTAAATTATATCCTATCGGCATAGCCTTGAAGACCCCAGGATCACCTCTACTCTACAATAAAATGCCATGATAGAACTTTTGTGGAAGCCAAAACATAAGCTAATAATTTAAATAGGCCTCAGAAAGTTCTAGCTAATTTTTTAATGACAGTCACAATATGTTAAGGAAAGTGAAAGGCAGTGACCCCAAACTTTGGAGATCACTGTCAGCGAGGATAGTTGTGTTGCTTCTGAAACCAACTTGTGGTGTTACCACCATCAGAGTCTTAGTACTGGGCAGACCATGGATGGCAGTTATCTTTGTAAAAGCAACCACAGGTGATGTAACAGCCACTGATAGAGACAAATGTGCCCTGGAGAAAGGGTGGACTCACAAGGGGGGGGAGAAGAGTCTGTTTCATAGACTATCTCTGGATGATCCTTGTTTTCAAACCAAAAAACTAATCAAGAGAGGATAAATGTGGCTCTGTGTACTCAGGGCCAGTTTGTCAGGACGCTCCCAGTCCCGGGATGCGTCTTGCTCAAGCAACACTGTAGCTGGGATGTGAGGGGGAAGAGACTGGGAGTCGAGAGAGAGAGAGAGAGAGAGAGAGAGAGAGAGAGAGAGAGAGAGAGAGAGAGAGAGACAGACAGAGAGAGAGACAGAGAGAGAGAGAGACAGAGAGGGAGACAGAGAGAGACAGAGAGAGAGAGAGAGACAGAGAGAGAGACAGAGAGAGACAGAGACAGAGAGAGATGAGAGACTAGACACAGAGAGATGAGAGAAAGAGACAAAAAAGAGAGAGACAGAGAGAGATGAGAGTAGAGACTGAGAGATGAGAGAGAGACAAAAAAGAGAGAGACAGAGACAGAGAGAAATGAGAGACTAGAGACAGAGAGATGAGAGAGACAAAAGAGAGAGAGACGAAAGAAAGAGAGAGAAAGAGAGAGAGAGATGGAGAAGTAGTTGGATGGTTAGTGCAAATACAGTTGTCAAGGAAGGAAGGTGGTGGGTGGGGGGAGCTGTTGTTTAGTATTGAAATCATGTATTCCAGATGTGGGCATTTGGTAGTCAATCCGCTCTGAAGTGACACGCTGCTGAATCTTTAAAGGGCTTCAGTTGGGGAAAGCAAAATCTGATTGGGCAAATTGCTAAAATATTTAAAGTGCAGCCTGTTAAAGCTTTTACTGGGAAGAGCATCACGTCAGAAGTTGTAGTCAGAAAGAGCAAATAATTGGCTTTCCATCCTCATGCTAGTCAGTCAGCATGGGGCTCTGTTCCTATTCCTTCCACATCATTGCTAAGCTTAATAGCAACCCTTTGGTTAGATTTTTTTTTTTTTGGTATTGAAGGAGGGGGTGAGAGGAGTTAGTGGAAAGAGATGGGGGTAGGGAGGTGCTGACAAGGAGGGGGGAATGAACTTGAGAAGGGAGAGAAAGCCTTGTTTAGAAAGAGATGATTAACAGAGCTCACCATTAAGGTTTTCTGCCTGCTAAATGTCAACTGGATGTGTTTTTCCAGGTTGATAGTGGTGGGTTCTCAGGTTTTGCTTTTCAATGAACAGGTCCTGCAAACTGATTTTAATAACAATAACTTCATTTTTATCTTTCATGTCTTTCAATATGCAGCTCTAGGGACATCTTCCCATTCATATTTTATCACATTTTCCACTTACATTATCTTTTTTTTTTTCTTTCTACAGGCACGACCCCTTTGTTAATTCCTGGCAATGATCAGATCGACAACATGGACTCCAACGTGAAAAAGTATGACTCTACAGGGATGTTCCACTGGTGTGCAGCCAAGGAGATCGAAAAAGTCATTCTGGTGAGTGTCAAAGGAGCCCCTTCATAATTCTGACCAAAGCCAGGTTTTCTAGCCCTGAGATCTGCCAGCTGTTTTATGGGATGACACAATCCCCTGTCCTATTTTTAAGATGATGGAAATTAGGAACACATTGAGGGGGCTTGATCTCTGATCAAAGTTTGGACTGGGAGTAATAAATCAAGTGTTCCTTCATTTCTTCATTTGTCCCTTCCTTCCTTCCTTCAAACGTATCGATCCCCTTACTATATGTATGGTCTTGCGCTAAGTGCTAGGAACAGACTCAGATCAGGTGAATGGCAACTTAGCTTGTAGTTTTATATGCCTGACCTTCCTCCCTAACTATATTGTAAGCTTCCCAAGGTTAGGAAATATGTCTTATTCATCATTATATCTCTCCAGTCATGTACACATTCACACAAACACACACAAAATCGCTCGCATGATTCACCATGGGTAGCAGGCACTCGATGCTGGGCTGGTGATGATAATGAGGCTAACAAATGTCCAATTTAATTCAGCCAATGACAAGTTTTGTGTTAGCTGCTAAGGTTATGATGACAAAAAAATGAGATTGCTCCTGCCTTGAGGGAGCTCACATTCTAATGGAGGGACATTACCTGCATTCAGGTAGGCAAATGCAAGATATCTACAACATGATGCCACTGAATCTCAATGTAAAGAGAGCCTTGCCAATTGGAGGGCTCAGGAAAGGCCTCGGTGCTTGAGTCATGTCTTAAAGGAAGCTAAGGTGAAAAAGGAGGGGGATCTAGACATGGCAGTCTATTGCTCAAGGACAAGGAAGCTGAAGACCTGTGTAGTGGAAGGAGTAGCTAAGAGATCAGTCTGGCTGGAATGGAGACTTCACCAAACGGAGTAATAAGAAAAAGATTGTAAAAGTTGGTGGGAGCCAGATCGGTTAGTTAATGAACACGCGCCTAACCAAAGTCACAAGATGTTTCCTGGTTAGTGAACACACTATAACTATAGTGCAACTATTCCATTGTTTCTCATCAGGGACACTGAGGTTTAGCTTAGAACTCTTAGATGCTATAATAATAACAATAATAATAACAATACTGGTAATGGTAAGCATTTATATAGTACTTTGAAGGTTGAAAAGTGCCTTACAAATATTATTTCACTTTATCCTCATAACAACCCTGGGAGGTAGGTGCTATTATTATCCCTAATTTATATGTAAATGAGGAAACTGAGGTAAACAGGTTAAGTGACTTGTATACAGCTAGTGTCTGAAGATGAACTTGAACTCAGGTCTTCCTGACTCCAGGTCCAGTGCTCTGGCCACTGTCTCACTTGACTGCCTGGTTTAATACTTCGGGCTTTCAGAGGAAGGCAAGATCACTCTCTATTGGGGTGGCCAGTGAAGGCTTCATCCGGGAGGTCCAGTCTGGAGAATGAATGGAAATGACAGGGCTTCAAATGAGTCTATATTGCCCCAAGTCTCCAGGATAACCTTATTGGCATATTCCTGCCTCCCTTTCCATGCCACTCTCCCATCCCCCACCTTCGTCTCTGTTTGCATTCCATCTGCTTGTTAAAGTGGGCTAGCTACCCAGCTGACTTGGCCAATTAAAAATAATTAGGCGGCCTATCACAGTTAGTTAGAGTCAGGAGAAGCTTCTGCTGGAGGTGCCCATGTACTCAGACCTCCGAGCAGCCAGTAACTAAGTCCAGATCTCCACCACAAAACTGATGATATTTGAAATGAGGTCCCCGGTGGATCCTCACTTTGTCGCAGTTTATAAAGCATTTCCTGAGGCCGGTGTCTCAGATTTCCCTGCAGTGTTGTGCAGGGAAACCAATAATAGTAACAGCCCCCACTTTATCCTAACGATCAAGGAGCAAGAGAGCCGGTTTCCTCCTCTCCTTGGGGGTTGCGGTAATAACCCTGACATTGTCATGAATTGCAATATTGGCATTTAAACAATCGATACACCAGTCAATTCTAGAAAGTAAATCAACCAGAGTTTGATATGTACAGTGGAAATTAATATATGTCCCCAAAGACACTGTAGGCCGCACGGGGCTATCTTGGCGTACGGTGACTGGGAGTCATAGAGGGGCAAAAGGGAGGCAGTGAACAGGAAGGAGTCAAGGAGAGGGGCCCATAATGAGCTTCCTTCTGTCATTTGTATTATTTCATGTGACGGGATGCTGAAGGGCCAGCGGTAAATGAACATTTGCATTTCACAAAGTCTTCGGATTTATATCATTCACAGGTAGGGTCTTAGAGGACTCCTTTGCTCCCACATGGACCTCTCTCAAAGTTTTTTAATTCTCTTGTCTTTGTGGGGGTCTTCCTCTGAAAGGCTTTAGAAGGCTAAGAAATAGAGCACTCTAGCATAGCATTTCATCGGAGATCACAGATGGCAGAATCTCAGAATTGGAAGGGGCCTCAGAGGCTGCCTGGTCAAACCCATACTTGTCCCAAACTCCCTTCCATAGCTCTCCGGTTAAGACCTCTAGTGGGAGGGGCAGCTAGGTGGCACAGTGGATAGAGCTCTGGCCTGGGAGTTGGGAGGACCTGAGTTCAAATCTGGCCTCAGACACTTGATGCTTACTAGCTGTGTAACTCTTGGTATGTCAAGTAATCCCCATGGCCTCACCAAAAAGCAAACAAATTAAAAATTAAAAAAAAAATCTCTAGCGAGACCTTCCAGAGTAGCCTATTCTACATTGGTGTTGTTGTTTTGTGTCTCAGGCTCTTTGTGACCCCATTTGGAGTTTTCTTAGCAGAGACACTGAAGTGTTCCTTCTCCAGGTCATTTTACAGATGAGGAAACTGAGGCAAACAGGGTTAAATGACTTTCCTGGAGTCACACAGCTAGTAAGTGTCTGAAGCCAGATTTGAACTCAGGAAGATGAGTCTTCCTGACTCCAGGCCTGGTGCTCTGGGCAGTATGGCGCCACCTATCTGCTCTGATCCACCTTGGGATGATTTACATTGCTAGCAAAAATTCTCCTAAATCTGTCTCTCTTCCTTCTACTCTCTCTTACTGCTCCCCCACCCCACCTAATTAGCAAGCATTTGTTGTTTTCTCTCTTCCTATCTTCTCTCCCCTATTTAAAATTTTAAAAAAAGATAAAACCTTTGTAACAAAATATGTATAGTCAGATATCCAAAGGGACAAGTAGAAAATGTCCAGTTCCCATTTTCTATAAGGTCCCTTCAAATGCTTAAAGACAACTGTCATGTCCCATGTCCAGCCCCTCAGAGCTTCTCTTTTCCAGGCTAAACAGCCTCAGTTCCTTCCAATAATCTTTGTCCCCTGTGATTTTCAGCTTCCTGATTATACTGATCACCCTCCTCTTTGTCAACTGCCTTTCTAGAATAGGACACCCAGGAGTGAATACCAGACTGGTCTGACCAAGGCAGTCCCAACCCAGAGTAGGCCCATTGGACTCTATCCCAACCCATTCCAATTTTTTTTTTTGGAATTGGGGTTAAGTGACTTGCCCAGGGTCACACAGCTAGTAAGTGTCAAGTGTTTGGTCTGAGGCCAGATTTCAACTCAGGTCCTCCTGACTTCAGGGCCAGTGCTCCATCCACTGCACCACCTAGCTGCCCCTCATTGCATTCTTAATGCTCAAAGGCAATAGAGTCCTGAGCTCCAGGGGAAGAGCATAGAAAATGCAGGCACATAATAGAAGGGGAAGGGAGCAAGCATTAATTAATTAATTAAGCCTACTATGTTTCAAGGACAGCTGGATAGCCCAATGGATAGAGTCCCAGACCTAGAGTCAGGAAAACTCTTCTTTCTGAGTTCAAATCCAATCGCAGACACTTACTAGCTGTATGACCCTGGACAAGTCACTTCACCCTGTTTGCCTCAGTTCCTCATCTGTAAAATAAGCTGAAAAAGGAAATGGCCAATTACTCCAGGATCTTTGCCAAGAAGACCCCAAATGGGATCACAAAGAGTCAGACACGACTGAAAAATGACTGAACAACAAAAAATGTGCCAGATGTTGTCCTAAACAATGGTTCCATGGAGAAAGGCACCCTTTTGAGCCTCAGTTTATGATAAAATGAGGATGTTTGAGTAGTTGGTCTCTTAGATATCTGCTAGCATTTTGTGATGCCCATAGACAAATATAAATTAGTATCATACCAGCGAAGAAGGAAGGGGGAGGTTGCCTGGTGGGTCACTTTGGTTCCCCATCAGAATATAGATCCTTGTGAGCAGGGATTTTCATTTTTTGTACTTGTGTCCCCAGTACCTCACACAGTGCTTAGCACATAGTAATAGATGCTTGATTGATTGATTGAATTGAGCCCAATTGCTCTTTTTCTGTAGATTTGGGGGAAAAAATGTATTTTGATTCTTCTTCATCTTTCTTTGCTGTTAAACTTTGGAAATTGGCTTCCCATTACATACGTCTGGAATTCCATATTAGATCTGCCCTCTCTCCCCAAATATCCATTCTCCATAGTGCTTCTTAGGACCGGAATCTACACTGCTGAGCCTGGATGAATGGCATTGGTAGGCCATTTGCAGTATATGATCTAAGCTTTGTAACTACCTGGTCTACTTCTAGCAAGCGGCAACAAATCTTTTCTACTTGGGAGAAGTTCCATTCTGACTTCCCACAGTGGGTCTCTCTGCTTAAGGAAGCACTCTTTCCTGGGAATGCCTTTCTTTTTTGGTTTTGTGTTCAGCGTTTGATTTATAACAGCCATGCAAATAAGAGCAGACCCCAGTGGCGTAGGGTGGACAATAAAGAATTGTAATAAAAATGAGGAAGACTCTGTGGCACAGTTCCCAGGTCTTATACCTCAGGTCCTGATGCTTATAATGCTATTTCTGTCCCTCTGTTGATTACCTCCAATTTATCCTGTCTATATTTTCTTTGTTGTTTTTTTTTTCCCCCCACATTTTCTCCCCTATTAGAATGTGAGCTCCTCAAGGACAGGGATTGATTGCCTTTGGATTTTCTTTATATCCCCAACACTTATCACAGTGCCTGGCACACAGTAGGTGCTTAATAAATGCTTATTGACTGGCTGGCTTGCTGAGTCTAGCCCTAAGCATCCTCATCGTTGGGACCCAGGTGAAAAGTCATTATTTTAATGGACTAATGAGTTTAACCCAAATCTCTGTGTCTTCTTTTATTTTCTTTTTTCAGACGAGAAGCGAAGCTGCCATGACAGTTCTGAGTGGACATGTGGTGGTTTGCATCTTTGGTGACGTCACGTCAGCTTTGATTGGCCTCCGGAACTTGGTGATGCCTTTGCGTGCGAGCAATTTTCACTACCATGAACTGAAGCACATTGTGTTTGTGGGTTCCATTGAATACCTCAAGCGGGAATGGGAAACACTACATAACTTTCCCAAAGTTTCAATATTGCCTGTAAGTCCAAGGCCGTACTATTGATACTTTCTTTTCTTTTCTTTCCTTTTCAAGAAAATCCCAACTGGGCAGGATTGTTGTGTCTTTGATCATGAACTTGTTCCTTTGTCTGGTTATGGGCCTGAGGACTTAGCCCATCCCTTGTGCTTCATCCAGGAAAACCTAAGCCCTGGGAGACCTTATTAAATGAAATTTGCAGTGGTTTTCAGTCCCTCATCAAGAATGAATTTCAGCTAGTATCAAATGTTATTACCTTCTGAACACTCTTTCCCCTTGCTTAACCTCGTTGGGTCCTGATGAATTTGATGTAGTAGTGTTTGTGAATTGATTTGTGCTATTACTGATGATTGTAAATACTTTGAACTATGTCCTCTCTTCTCTTTTTCCCCCTTAAATTTCTTTTGTAGCTATATTGAAGAAAGATCTATTTATTCTTATCTGCTATATATTGGTCTTCCTGACTCTCTCTCCCCACAGTTAATGGCAGAGTAGCCTTTCCACTGGAAACTCTGTTCTTAGGGCTATTGTCATCTAGAGTATGAATCTGATAGCGTACATTTAAAAACACATTGAACCCTAAATCTAAAGGGCAGACAGTCAACCGAACTAGTGTTTATTAAATACCTACTATGCGCCAGGCACTATGGTAAGAACAGGGGATACAAATAAAGACAGTATCTCCTCTTAAGGAACTTAACAATCCAACATGAAAACAACTTGTACAAACAAGATATAGTATAAATTGGAGATAGTCAACAGAGAGAAGGACTTAGTACCTTGACCATAAAATCAGTGTGATAGATATTGGACTGAAGAATATAGGAACTCTATCTTTGCTGCTTTTCAATGAATAATATATCCCATAAACTCTAAAAAAAGTTCTTGGAGGTTAAAATATGTAGCATTTGATGTTCTGCCCCATGTTGAAAATGTGTACCAGAATCATATTATTGTCTAAGTCTTTCCTAATATTGGCCCTCTTACTTCTTTTTTTCTTTAGATTTAGATTTTATCCTATTTTTGTTTATTTTATTAATATTTTGTTTTTTCCCAGTTACATGTAAAAACAGTTTTAACATTCATTTTTGAAATTTTGAGTTCCAAATTCTCTCCCTTCCTCCCTTCAGACTGCCTCCCCTCCCCCATTGAGAAGGCAAGCAATTCGATATAATTTATATATGTGTAGTCATGCAAAACATTTCTATAATAGTCAATGTGAAAGAAAACATAGACAAAACAAAACTCAGGGAAAATAAAGAAAAAGTATGCTTCAGTCTGTATTCAGACACCATCAATTCTTTCTCTGGGGATGGAGACCATTTTTCATCACGAGTCCTTCAGAGTTGTCTTGGATCATTGTATTGCTGAGAATAGTTAGGTCATTCATAGCTGATCATCTTGTAATATTGCTGTTACTTTGTACACAGTACATTTCACTTTACATCAGCTCATGTAAGTCTTTCCAGGTTTTTCTGAGAGCATCCTGCTCATCATTTCTTATAGTATAATCATATTCCATCATAATCACATACCACAATTTGTTCAGCCATTCCTAATTGATGGGCAGCCTCTCAATTTCCAATTGAAAAGCTATATTCTTATGCAGTGATGCAATATGTGATTATGCCTTTCAGTCTCCCTAGGGAATTGATAAACTTCTTTCATTGCAGTTTCAGACCTGTGGGTGTCAGCTTCTAGAATAGCAGAAATGAAAGAGGAAAAAAGATAACCGAGGGTTAATGGGAAAATCTCTCGTAACAGGAAAATTCTTCCATTTTGAAAGGAGCATTAAGGCATTGATCTATACGTGTTACCTTTGCCATCTCCCACCATTTATACTTTGATCATCAGATCTAGCCCTCCTGAATCCCAGATTGACACACCCAAATCAAAAACAACTGACTTAATGAACATATACCCATATGTATATGCACATGGATAAATAGTCCCCAAAATATATATAGGTAATTCCCCACCTAGCACACATCTCCGTACCCCAACAGATGTGCACACTCATCCCTTATGTACAATTCATAAATATTGTCAATTCCATCACCTCTCCTTAATCATTTCTCTGACCAGAACATTCTAAATGGGCATTTGGAGACGTCTTTTTGGCAGGACTTGGCAAAACAATTTTTGGTCAAGTTGCTGCTGATGTTTCACTAGGCTGCTCCAGAGTTTTCCTTTGTATGTAAGTATGGGGTAATTGCTCATTGATTCCCTGAGCTCACCCAGTGAATTGGCACATGTAAATGCATAGGTTCTCATATTTTATAGGACCATTTCAAACCCTCTAAAGCCTAGTGTCCCTAGGCCTGGCACATTTGTACAAAATGGGCTTCCACATATGTCTTCACATATTTCACTGTTTAAGTAATGCTCTATACAAAGTGAATGCCCAGAGAAACACAACATGTTTCCATTGATATCATTTGTATTTTTTGTATTTAGAACACATGCTTGCCCAAATGTGCTAGTGTTTTCCTGTTTCATTGCTGCTACTCTAAGTGGAAATTAAATAACTATGGACACAGATGACTGAAACATACTTTTTTTTTGGCCTACATTTTTGGTTTTATTGGTGAAGATAACTTCTGGTATGGAAACTCCCCCCACAGAGCTACATTGGTAAATTGTCTATGATCTGTAGTCTTGGAGAGTTGCACTGTCTGATTAAATGACCTGCCCATAGTTACACAGATACTATGTATCAGAGGCAATATTTGACCCAAGTCTTCCTGACTACAAGGCTAGCCTTCTATTCTCTACGCTGCAGTGCCCCTCATTGGCAAAATAAACAATGTAGTTTTGTTTTGTGTTGAGAATCTCACAAGGGAAGGAAAATAAATTGCTTCTTCTCTGGGAGAAGAGTGCCTTAGGTCAGAAAATGTTCAAAAGCTATGCCCATTCTTTCTTGTCACTCAGCCCACTTTCTAGAATTATATTGATGCTTATGACCAAGCTACCACCAAGTATTTATAAAGGATTGCTTGTCTTAATTTCTGCAGCCAGCGTACTCTCCTAGAGGGGCAGCTATTTAGACAGGAGAAAGTAGCATCCTGGATTATAACCCATGAGATCTGATGAATCCAGTCCCAAAGTGATCAGTGAGGAAAGTGATGAATCAATATGTTTCAAATAGATAGTCTACCATGGAATCAAGGTTGGACAACCAATTCAAATTTAATTTAAGCAGCATTTATTAAGTGCTTATTAGATGCCAAGAAATGGGCTAGCTGTTGGAGATGGGAAAAAAATATAAACCAAAAATGTTAAATAAAACTATCTCTGTCCTCAAGGAGGATACATTCTATCTGGAGAGGTATATCAATATATGTAAAGAAATATACAAATGCCAGACAAGTTCAAAAGGTAGAGGATATTAACACTAATTAGAGGAAATCAGGAAAAGCTCCTGGTAGGAGACAAATGAAATAAGCATGGAAGGAAACAAAAGATTCAGTGGACAGAAGTGAAAAGGGAGTATATTTCAGGAATGCGGGAACAGCTTTTTCAAACACATGGAGGTGGGAAATAGCCCAAATCAAAGAACAGCAAATAGACTGATTCGGAATACAAAGTAAATAAAGAGGAGTAATATGAAATGTCTGGAAAGCAAGTCTGAAGCCAGATTGTGAGGGACATGCTAGGCTGATATTTTATTCCAGAAACAAGAGGTAGTCATTGAAGGTTGTGGAGTAAGAAGTGATATGGTTGGATCGATTCCTTCGGGAAGATTATTTTGACAAATGTGCAGAGGATCGAATGGAGAGGGAGAGAAACTAGAAGATTTTTGGAGACCATGTAGGAGGCTGTTATCATAATCCAGCCAAGAGGGGATGAGGACTGAGCTAGGATAATGGCTGTATGAGTGAAAAGAAGGAATCTCATGATTGGAGGTGGTTCTCAGCTGCTCTGACTTGATTTTGGGGTATAGAGATTATGAAAATCTAATCAATATTATATGGAGTTTTCAATGTGGCTTTTGCACTGCCTAAACACACAGAGACTATTAGAACACAGAAGGTACAGGTACAGTGGCAAAATCACTGAATTTGGAGGCATCAGGATCTGGTTTCAAATCCTGGCTACTTGCATGACCTTGAGCAATCAACTCATGACCTCTCTATACCCCAGTTTTCTCTTTTTTGAAATGAAGTGGCTGGACTAGATGAGCTTCTAGCCTTAAATTCATTATGTTGTAATAAGAGCTGTGACTCTCATTATAAGGTATAATAAAATGTCATTAATGGCTAAGACAGGAACAAAGTGGATTTTAAGGTGGAAAGATTCTTACAACTGAGTGGATCCAGAAAACCTTCTTTAAGGAGGTGATATTTGAATTTCACTTTAATATTCAGACAGGAAGTCCATCTGTGCAGATGATAAGGGAAATTCAAACATAAGGAGCCATGTACAGAGAGATGGAGGTGGGAAAGCACATGGCATGTATAAGGGTTAGTCATGGATTAGTATGTTCAGTGGAGTTGGCTTCAAAAGTTGAGTGGTGCCAAACTATAGAGTGCCCTGAAGACCAGACTAAGAAGTTAGAACTTTGCTCAGTTGACAATAGGGAGCCATTGAAAGTTTTAAACAAATGCATGCTATGACTTTTTAGTTTTATTATTATTTTTTTAACCTGGTCTCCTAAAGTTCCTTCAATGGATTTCAGTTTTTCAAGGCCCACAATGACTTTGTAGCTCCCTGCTTGGCCTCACTGAAGGTCTTATTGGCTCTAGTTGTTTTTGAACCTTCCTCTGGTTCCCCAAGGGAGAAACATAGGTTCCTAAGAGCCCTGTGAGTTTCAGAACAGCTATGAAGACCATGTCTTCTTCATGGCTCCCTGAAAGCCATCTCTAGCCCTTAACACTGTCTTCCCTCTCCTGGTCAATTTGTCTGAAATGAATTCACTAGTATGTTCTTCACAGCCAATCTTCATATCTCATTCTTATCCAGCGTCTCTAAACGTGACTTCTGCTAGAGGCGTAGTTCCCCAAAAGGAGCGCTTCTCAGACACCACGTGCCTCAGTTGCACATACCTTCATCTTCTTCAATCTTTTTTTCCTTAATAGCCATTAACGACCAATTCTTGTTTTGGAGAAAGTCCCTGCTGGACCTAGCAAAAAGCTCTAGTTTCCAGTCTAAGAATTACCTTTAGTTCAGGAGGGAGCATCATGTAATGGAATGAAGTCCGAATTTAGAGCCTTGGGATGTGAGTTTGAATCCTGACTCTGCCAAGTGCTCTCTGTGTGACCTTGGGCAATTTGCCTCTCCATTTCCTTAGCTGTAAAATGGGGGGAAGAAGGGGGTTGCAGTTGGACTAAATGGTTTCTAAGACCCTTTCCAACCCTAGATCTACAGTCCTAAAATCCATTGCTTTTTAGCTCATTTGGGGACAGATCCTGAGTTTCCATGAAAGAGTATTTCAGGAGATCAGCCCCATGCACTTCTCAGGTATTTTACCCGTAGCTTAGCACTCTAGTGATCTGTCTTTCTCACCCCACCCTCCCAGGGCCCTGAATGTCTCCAAAATCCGTTACCACAGACTTAAAATAAAAAGACTACTTTACACCCACAGCAATAATCACTGACAATTTCCACCGATTAAGACAAGAATCCAGCTCCACCCCCCAACACACACACTTGCAAGATCTCATTTCCCCCTTGCCCAATTTTTTTGACCAAACCTAAGGCCCCATCACAGCTGCCTCACCCCAAGCCATGCATGGCCTCTGGCCCTGCCCCATGCCATCTTCTCTTGGCTACGCAGAGATCATGAGTTAGGTTTCCTGCTTGTTTTTTTTTTCTTTCTTCTTTACTTCTTTCTCCTTTCACCGGAGACAGGAGGTGACCTGCCATCAGATAAACAGACATTTAAAACCCTCCTTTTATTCTGAAAGCTAGAGGTTGCCACAGGATGATAGCTTAAATCAGGACAATTTCAAAGCAGAGAGGAGATGTAGGGCCCTGGCATTATTCCTCTTCTACGTTTGTTAGTAATAGCTTGATTGAGTATGAAGAGGGGGCCTAAAATGCTGCCATCAGCATCAAGTGCCCTTTAGATTAACATGCGACTCCTATTCCCTGGTATATAGTTAGGCTGGCTTAATGTCAGGGCATAAAACAGATACTTGTTAAATAATTTCCCAAAGCACCTTCTCAATCTTTAATTTGTTTTTATTTTCTCTCTCTCTCTCTCTCTCTCTCTCTCTCTCTCTCTCTCTCTCTCTCTCCTCCGTCCCTCTTTTTTTTTTCTTCTCTGCCAAAGGGTACACCATTAAGTCGGGCTGATTTAAGGGCTGTCAACATCAACCTCTGTGACATGTGCGTTATCCTGTCAGCCAATCAGAATAATATTGATGATACTTCGCTGCAGGACAAGGAATGCATCCTGGCGTCACTCAACATCAAATCTATGCAGTTTGATGACAGCATTGGGGTCTTACAGGCTAATTCCCAAGGTAAGGACTGCCCTATAATACTCCCCTGCAGTGCCTACAGGGGACAGGACCTGGCAAGAGGAATATCCTTCATTCAGTAATTCAAAGAGCTTGCATCAGCCAGGCTGACAGTGAAACCCGCTCATTGCTGGGATAGCTTTTAAAGGGGGCATCTGCTGTCTCTTCCCACTGTTACAGAAAGCAGGCTGGAAAGCTATGTGCACACACAAACACACATACTCTCACAATACATGCAAACACACATGCACACACTGAAAAATACATGCACAATGCATATACTCACGATATATGCAAATACATGCAGTCATTCATGCATACTCTCATAATACAAGAAAATACACTAACTCTCATACATGCAAACATGCAGGCACACAATATTCTCACACATATATGCAAATACATGCTTACACACTCACTCTCACACATGCATACAAACACATGCACACACTTTCACACATATGAGAATGGTGTACATACATGCAAACACACATGTGCACATTCACACACATACCCACACACGTTTACATTTATGTATGCACTCACACATGCATATGAACACACTACAAGCCTATACCCTCACAAACATGCAAACACATGTGTGTGCACACATATTCATATACCCACACTTTTACACATGTATGAAAACTCACATGCACACACTCTTACAGTATATATAAATGCACATGCATACACACTCAGGCATGTAAGTAAACACATATGCAAACTCATGCATGCTTCTAAACTCTCACAATACATGCAAACACTCATGCCTGCATACTCATATGTACAGATATACACATGTGCTCACATACACACATGTGCTCACGTACATGTGCATACCTGTCATACGAACACACTGTTACATATACATGCAGACACACATGCACACAAATGCACAAACAGGCTGGGATTGTTTAGAATAAATGAGCCCTTGGAAGGCCCAGAACATCAGCCATGATGCACATTGATCATACCATTGGGGTCACTTGGCTGCACATAGCTAATAAACAAAGATGGGACTGCTGATCAGCAGAGCTCTGGATTGGAGCCAGAGAAGTGATAGTTTCTGACAAATCCTGAATCCCTTCCCCACCTCTCCACCTCCCCACCTCCCCACCTCCAGGTAGCAGCAGAGACAGTGAATGTGCGTGAAACAAACTGTTGTTTTTTTTTAAATCATGACATGTTATTCACCCACTGAATTATTTTTGTCAGCTTACCAGCCCTCTCCCAGAGAGTGGATATAGCATAAAACGAACTGTCAGCCACATCTACCCTACTCCCAGGCTGAGTAATCTCCAGTCTCAGATGCTGGACAATTGTTTACAAAGATGCTGCCTTCAGGAAGCTTAAAAAGTTGATACAGCAGCATCCCAGAAATAATGTTTTAATATCCCATGAATCTGGTTGCTCCAAAGTCAAAACTTGTCCACCATAATGACATAGAGTGCCTCTTTCAATAGAACTTGGGAACTGGGGTGGGGGCAGAATGGCCTAGTAGGACAAGCACTGAGTTTGGAATCAAAACAACATGATTTTGAAAGCCTACAATTTTGACCCACATTAACTGTGTGTCCTTGAGTGAAATATTGATGTCTCAAAGCTGCAGTTTTCTACCTGTCAGATGGAACTAATACTCACAGGGTTATGTTAAGAAAAGCATCTTGAAAATCTAACACACCATGGAAATGTAAGATAGCATTGTTATCTCTGTCTATAATTGCAGTTGGATTCTATTATATAAACATTTCCAACTCAGGAGTCAATGAATCATCAATTCCTAAGCTCAATTTAAAGCCTCCAGCGTATGGTAATTCAGGGCATTTCCCTTGGAAAGTCTGGCTTGGTCTACATTCAGATCACTATGTTCCTAGTAGGTGACTTTGGGCGAAGCATCATGTCCATTCTGAGGACAAAATGTTAGCCCTAGTTGGAAGAGATGGGCAAGAAAGTTCCCTCCTTTCCTTTTTCTCCTTACTCTGGTTTTCCTAATGGGGGCATTTTTCCTGAAGAAGTAGCTAGCAGTGTGGTGGGGTAGATGGAATGCTAGATTAGGAGTTAAAAGACCTAGGTTTGACTCTGTACAACTGGAACATTTAGGCACGTAATTTTACTTATTTGGGCCTCAGCTTCCTAAGTTTGGCCAAGGCCCTTGCCAGCTAAGTCTTAATCTACGATACTATGAAACTGAAACACATGTAGGATTTAGTTGCTGTTCTCAGTGTCTTCAAGCCCAAGTGTGTCTTTCAAGATCATTGACACCTGCTAGGTCTACATAACCACTCTGTCTCCCTGCTGGACTCACTAGAAGCCTAGCTGACCCTAATCCCAAGTGATGCTTCAGCTAGGCATTGGCATGGCCAAACCAAAGGAGTCTAGGTATTGCTGGTGCCCAAGGACATTTTAAGAGAACACATTATATACTCTGAGATTTGTTGAAAGTAGGAAGGGAAGGTGCCTGAGAAGAGGGAAGAAGGCAAAACCGTTCCCCAGAATGAGGGCTGATTTCTTTTTTACTCAATAGATGTAATTTTCACTTTCTTTATTCTATAGCTCTTTATTATGCTATGGAATCGCTTGGATCCCCCTGGTGGCCCTGATGCCATCAGTTCTGGCAGGAAAATATTGGTCCAAATGGCAGTTTACTTTTCCATTTAGTTCCATACCCATTAAGTCCCATAGTATGATTCTTCCTGTCTTTCAAATAGCCAAGTGGTATCGAGTCCTAGCACCATCTAAAACGTGACTCTCTTGCCAAAAAGAGCATCTGTCTTTTGGTTTGGGCTGTAAACCCTGAGATCAGCCATCCCGTTATCTAGATAATCAAAATATTAATATTCCCCCCCTTCCCTTTTTGACTCCCCTCTGTGGCACACGTGACTTCAGAACCAAGCTAGCATAGGGACTTGGATACAGGTTTTCCAAAAGATTTGGGATGTGGTGGTTAGTTGTCAAAAACAATTAGACTGATAGGTGGCACACCCCTCGCTCCCTGGGTAATCTGATGTGACAGCCCAGGCTGTGAGAATCAGTTTTAATATAGAGTAGTCAGGACTACAGCAACAATTACATAAAGCAGGTGAAGCTGCTTCTGCTGGTCAGCAAACATCAGCTCAGAACCACTTTACAGCTCTTTACCGGCATCTAAGTGCCTGTATTTACAGAGTGGCTGTCACTTCCCTCTGCTTGGAAATCTGGTGTATTATTTAACACTCATTTATCTAGGGAAAGCATTTCAATTTAAATCAACTGGCACAACACTGCCTTTTGCCAGACTCTATCCTCCTATGCAGCCCCCTTCCCCTGATTCTAAAGGACAAATAGCAGAGCTTGTGATGTCCATCTATGGAGCAAAAACCACAGCCCTGTCCATAGCTGGGGAGGGAAGGAGGAAGAGGAACCCTTTTCCCTGTTTTCATGTTGCTGTCTGATTCTACTTTTTTAAATAGTCTGGATGTGAAGACACATGACTTGTTGCTCAAATGCTGAGTTTATGAATTGAACATCTTACATATCCCCCCCCTTTTTGGAGGGACTTCTACTTGAGAGCTCCCAGCTTGGCATCTCCCCTCACTAATGCCAAATGACCACCCAACTGTAACATATCATCTTTGATCCTGGAAGCACTTAAAGATGATGTGACACATTCAGAATCATACAGTCAGTCAAGAAACATAAATATACTTACTATGCCAGGTACTATGCTAAGAACTAGGGATGCATAGAAAGTGATAGGATTTGTCAGAGGTGTCAAAGCCCAGATCTTCTTTACTCCAAGGCCAGCTGTCTATCCACTACATCATGGTGCCTCAATCTGTGCACATGGAAAGAGGAAGACATGTATGTTTGCATATGTATCATGTGATCATAGAGCTAGAGCTGGTAGATACCTCAGGTGCTGTCTAGTTTAACTGACTCATTTTACATGGTCCAGGAGGTTCACCAATTTACCTCAGCTACCACAGCTGGTAAGTATAAGAAGCAAGATTTGAATCCAGGTCATCTGGCAACCAGAACCAGAGCTTTCTACTGTATCATACCATCTCATGTGCCATGCATGTGCAGATATGTATATATACACACAAGTCATTTAATCTCTCAGAAACTTCAGTTTCCCCTTTTGTAAAATGGTGATAATGCCTGACGTAGCTACTGCCTTGGGGCTTAAATGAGAACATATGTAAAAATAATTGAAAATCATTACATTATTTATATTTATATGTGTATTATATGCGTACATACATACATAGCTATACATGCATGTATAGAGGATAGAGAGCTGGTCTGAAAGCCAGAAAAACTTAGAGATATGAATTTAAGCATATATATATATGTATATGTATACACACACACAAATGCATACATGCATACACACACAAGGTCCAGATATGTTGACTTGCCATGCACACATATGTGTATATGTGTGTATATATGTGTGTGTATAGATATCAAGTTCTGTCTTGCTATGCATACATGCGTATGTGAGAGTATGTATATATAATACACAAACACATCTATATGCATATGTAAATACATATATCTTTATATAAATGAGGTCTAGAGAAATTTGTTTGCCACACATATATGTATGTATAAGTATGAAGTTGTGGCTTGCATTACATATATGTATATGTATGTATAGACATATATGCACAGTGTATATGTATATATGCGTTTATGTGTCTGTGTTATGTATGCATGTGTGTATGGCAAGGCACAACTTCGTTGGACCTCATTTGTAAAATGAGGGTGTCTGAATAAATTATCTCTAAGGTTTAATATTCTGAATCAGTTTTACATTTTTATATAGAGAGATAGGGATAAGACCTTTACCAACGTAGGGCAGCACCTTCTGTGGAACTTAGAGTCTTAGAGCATTGTCCAGATCATTGAGAGTTAAAGAGATTGCTCAGGGCCATGATGCCAGGATGTGTCAGAAGAAGGACTTGGCCCTAGGTCTTCTGGCTTTGCAACCAGCTCTTTATGCATATTACACATAC